ATTAGAAACCAATGTTTTCATCTTTGCTTAATGCTTCTGGAAACTGGAGGTTAAACATGTTCTTACAACTTCAAAATGTGGTAATAAAACACAACAAAGGTTTTAAAGTCATATGAACTTGTAAGAAACAGTAAAACAGCCCCTTTAGAGAACAGCCATTAAAAAAAGGCCAATGTTCAGATGGATTACCCATTTTCCAGCCCGTCTCTTCTTTGCCTTTGGTGCTGTACTCTCAGTGCTGCTGCCTTCAGACTCCTGAGGATCTTGGTGGTTCTGTTCTTGTGCAGGAAGTGTTTCATTCCTCTGAGGAGAGTGCTTCTTGGATCTCTGGTTTTTCTTTGACTTCCTTGTCTTTCTCTTGTTCGGAGTTCCAATCTCATTCTTTCTCTTCTCTGCTTCTTTTTCTGACATTTGGGAAACTGATTTAAGTTCTCCGCTGCCCTTTAGTTCCTGCGGATCCTCATTTCTATCAGATGTTTTCTTGAGSATTTTTTCTTCCGATTTGAGTGATGAATTTCTGTGCTGATCTGGCATATCTTTTTGGACTCCTGCCTCAGAGCTTTCCATGTCTGACTCATCAGCAGCAGGACTAAGCTGCTCTTTTTCACTGCCTTCCTTCATTTTAACACCTGGGAGATCCTTGTTTGGATCAGACAGAGAGTCATCAGCAGAGGGGTTGACTTTAGTTGAATTTCTCTGCAGAGGTTGGAGGATTTCACCATCAGCAGCATAATCAAGATCAACAGGAAGTTCTGATTCTGTGCTGCCCTCCAATGGTCCAACCAGCTCAATTCTGCTGGTCATCATGCCAGCAGGCTTCTTGATCCTCTCCTCTATTTCAACTTCTTCAATATTACCCCTCACTTCCTCCTGATCTTTCACATCTTTCTCTGCTTCCAAGCTGTCAGTCAGCATCTTGTCCTGCTTAAGTTTTTTTTCATCCTCGGTGACGCCCACATCAGTGGGGGCCTCTGCTCCATCATCCTCCCCTTCTCCTTCTTCATCCTCTTCTTTTGCCTCTTTATCAAGGAGGTCTACCAGTTCTTCCTCACTCAACAAGACTGCAGTGCTTTCCATTTTCTTYTCAACCACCCCTTCGTCATCCTTCTTAGGATTAGAGTTCTCTTCGGAGCTCATTTCTTCATCGTCCTGCTCCTGGCTGCTGGATTCATATGGGGATAAAGTGGGCAAAATCTGTGACTTTATGGCCTCTTCTGTGATGACATCCTGTAGAGATACATTCATTTTATTCATTAGCCAACACTGATATGTTTTCCAACGAATGTTTGTTTGTTTGTTTGTTTGTTTGTTTGTTTGTTTGTTTGTTTGTTTGTTTGTTTGTTTGTTTGTTTGTTTGTTTGTTTGTTTGTTTGTNTTGTTTGTTTGTTTGTTTGTTTGTTTGTTTGTTTGTTTGTTTGTTTGTTTGTTTGTTTGTTTGTTTGTTTGTTTGTTTGTTTGTTTGTTGCAATGGGGAAAAAACTGATTTGAATCCAATGTAAGTTTGGACTTTTGCAAAGAAATGAGCAGTTTAATTTCATGCCATTAATTAAATAAAGACAAAATGTTGACGTGAAATACAGGCAATAAAGAAATTACATAAAAAACTAAAATTGATATGCACCCGCTTTACCAAATTCTCTAAATTCTACACCATTTGGTAATTTCAACTTCTTGAAGCTCCTTTATGATAATGAAATTATCATAAAAGTTAAATACTGTTCTTTGTTTTTTTGTAAATGTACAATTGTGTAAATTCTGCAGGGGATCAAATAGTTTCATCCAAGATGTTTTACCTTTTCTTTAGCTGTGTTAAAGGTCTTCTGGTGTGCATGTTGTTTACCATGAGCTGTACTTTTTACCTACAAAAAAATAATTACTTGCAAATGAAAACACTATTTAAAATAGTGTTTTCGTTAATATACTGTATATCATACTTGTCAAAGAATGTAAAAAATGTTTTGCTACTCACAGATAGGGCAAAAGTCGCTGCCAGTAAATAAATGAAAAACAAGCAGGCCCTCATATCTGGAAAACAAATGTGTACTGTTGAAAAATAATGCAATACGAATAAACTCACTGCAGAGCTGGGTGTCTATGAAGAACAAGGATGTGAATTTGTCACATTATTTTTAAAAAAACAGACTGATGGATCTGTATGCAGCCAGCACTTTCTGTGACAACACAGCTCCAACGTCCTCCGATGTTCCCAAGGTTACAGGCCTCAGAGATGTGCCTCACGCTCAAAAGTCACATTCAATCCTAAAGTAAACATCAGAAGCTACCAGACTGGAAAAAAGTTGCCTGAGTCCACAAACGGACTCCCTGGGCGGAAACAATACAGGCATCAGTGAATCTGTTGGCTGGAAGAAAATAATTTCACAGATTAACAGACGATGGCTGTGGGCTTAATAATTAACTAAAAACATCAAATTACCTAATGTGTTAAACATTCAGAGGCATCAAAACACACAGATTTGACACTACAGAAGGCCTACATCATGAGTTAAAATGTGGAAACATTTTCATATTAGTTAAACTTCCAAATGATCTTTTAGTGAATTATAAAATATTTTGTTGTGCATTTTGTGCACAGCTATATGTTTGCTGCATTAAAATTATATTGTCCACATCTTAATATAAACTTTACTAAACGTGTGATTGGGAACCACAGCATGACTTCCAGTGAGGTTATTGAAGAAAAACACATTTTCTCAAATGTGACATCATTACTCTGACCTGCAGCTACTGTACTACAGTTTATCTCAGTTTTTTTTTTTTTTTTGGAAAAAGTCTGTGCAATTTTAAACTGTAATAAAAAATAGTGTAAGCATATTATAATTAGACTTTACCTGCTGTTCGCAGCATAACAATGAGAGTCCTGCAGAGGCACAGCATGCGCGTCTGTCCAACCTGCGAAAATGTCCTTTTGTATTCAAGACAGCATCCAGTGTCCACACAAAGCAGCATCCAGCACACACAGAGATTTTTTTTGACAGGGGTGGGGTCTAGAATGTCATTAATTTGAAAAGGTCCTGTGGCTGCAGAGATAAAGGGAGTGTAACACAGAGTCTCAATGAGCTTCAGTTCAGTCCCCAAAACACAAAGGATGTAAAACGATTGTATTTAGTAATAAC